TATGAAACAATTAACTAAAGGAGAAATAAGAGATAGTAACAGAAAAAAGTTGTAATGAAAAGACGAGCCCGAGCTTGCCCAAAGATTAGAACAGGCTTCCATACGTAATATGAGCTTAATATAAATAATGTACATATACATATGCGGTTTTTAAATATTTTTTTTAGTTGTTTTTTAACCATAAAACCTGTACCTACTATATTTTTGTATCTCTACTATTGATAAGAATATTAAATAAATATAAGTAGGTGGGTACGCCAAAACAAAATCAAACATACTCCGAAATAGGTAAAATATGTGGGGTTTCAATACTACATTGTTTAACAGTGCATTGCTGTGTATGATATGCTTTAGCAGTTTATAAAAGGAGAGACTTAATATCATTTATTGAAGTTTATTATTTGATATTAATTATTTATTATATTAATATTAATTCACGAACCTTGCCTCCTTAAAGGCAGCATCATAGAATTAGACACTTTGGGTTACAGAAATGTTTTATGTTTTTTTGGATGCTAATACAAAATTTTTCTTTGCGTTCGGAGATATACACCAAAAATACTGAAATTTTTAAACTTTATTTGGTTTTTTGCCATGATACCAAAACCATTAATTATTGATCAGCATGAAGTTAAAGAAGACAAAACTTTCTGTAAATTTCAACTGTAGCTTTTATGTAGGATCAACAGATGCAGAGTTGACTACTTGAAATGAAAATGAAATGAAAATATATTTTATTATTCTGGGACTGTTGTCCCTTTAGAACAAATTATAAGTACTGAATACATGTATAAGTGGTCATAAATAGAGTAAATATTTACAATATTGGTTATTTAAAAGTAAGAATACGGAGAGAGAAAAAGACATGGAAAGCGTTCATATATATATATAATGCAAACAGAGAAAACTAAAATAACAGAAATATTTTCTGGGGGTACTTAGATAGCTCTGTTAGGTATATTTCGTAATCAGGTGGATTGAGAAAAGAGTAGGTGTTTAAAGAGGAGAGGTTTGCGTTTACATACTTTACAAGAAATAGCCATCCCCACCAATTTTTTCCTTAAAAACACATCTCAAAGAAATTCATTACATTTGATTTGAAAGAGCATTAAAATTCCTATAGATTTTAAGTAGAAACATTAATATACGATAAGGTAAGAGGCACTTAAAGGGCATGGAATTGAATGTGTATTTGAGTTGTAGTAACTGCAATTCCCAAGTTAAGCATTTTTCATCTTTTCGATCCTTTGAGTCAGCTAATTAACTACATTAATACATTTATACATTGAGTATATAACAATACTCAAATTTAAAAACAAAATTATATGGATTTTATATTTTCGTTGGTACAAGGGACTTTTCATCCAGGTAAGGGATGAAAATTTGGCTATATGTTAAAAAATGTTTTCAGCCCACATTCATCCTGTTTTAAAATGTCTGATAACCCAATTTTTACAATTCCTATAGGAAAGCATAAATAGGTATAAATTATAAATGAATTAAAAAAAGAAAAAGAAAGAGAAACATGAAAGTAATAACTCTCTCTCTCTCTCTTTAGGACCAGTTTTGAGCAACCGTTCAAAATAAAAATATTTGGAAGTTTTTATGTTCTGAACTAAATACATAAAAATATCAGTTTATATCTAGTAATTTGTGGCAATGTATTTCTTCCCAAAATCGTAAGGCCAATTTTTTTCGGGTTACAACTATTGAGCACTTTTATCTCTAGAGCCTTTTTTACTTTTCAATGATAATGGTGTAAATGTATGTAACGGATAATGGTGGAAATGGAGGAACCAAAGGAATACGAGAGTATCCGAGCTCGCCGAAACGTTATAACAGGCTTCCATATGTAACATGAGCTTAATATCATATGGACTCCGACAATATTATGTACATATACGGTTTTCATAAATGCTATCGTTGGTATTATTTAATATTTAATTGTATAGATTACTGTGATATAAAAATTAAAATTGAAAGAGATGGTACAGGGTGGCGGTCATAAATAAGCTAAATAGTGGCAAAACTATATTATTAAAAACCAACATTTCGATCCGACTTAGCAGGTCTTCTTTAGGGCTAGAATGGACAAGATACAAAAAGATATAGAGAATTGTGGAAGTTACATAATATTTAGACAAAAAATTATAAACAATGTGAATAAGCTTATTAAAATATAAACAGTAAGTACATTAAAATATAAACAGAGCAAGCTTAGTAACAAGATCCTAAACTGAAGTAGATAAATAGTAACAATTGTTAAATATATGCCAATGTGAATACACTTCTACAGACCTACAGGAGAGATTGAAAGATAAGGAAAAAGGATATAATATGAAATAATAGACATAAAGTAATGTGGAGAAAGAAAAGAAAACCAAAAATAAATAAATAAGTATATAAAATTAGAAGAATAAAAATAGAGACTTACAGGTGTGTTCAGCTAGGAGTTTCATTTAGAACTGGAAAATAAGGGTAAGGATGTTCAGCTAGGAGTTTCATTTAGAACTGGAAAATAAGGGTAAGGATGTTCAGCTAGGAGTTTCATTTAGAACTGGAAAATAAGGGTAACGATAATAATAATAATAATAATAAAAGGCTTAGCGAACCCGAAGGTACGATGCCGACACCACCAATCGCTTATTACACACCTCCCTCCACCGTTTGCCGTCCAAACCCAGTCCCTTCAGATCGGCCCTTAATGCAATCTTCCCACCTTCGCTTCGGTCTACCCCTCGGACGCTTACCATTCGGCACAGCAAATATTAACCTTTTAGGAATTCTCTCGTTACTAAGCCCAACAACTTTACAAGCCCATTTGATTCGCCGCGATGAAATTACCTCAATTATATTACCCGGATACAGTTCACGCAATTCGGCATTGTGTAACCGTCTGAAAAGGGTAACAATAAGTATATTATATTTTTTAAGGGTAGGTTTACCTTGCTCCACTCCTAATTATAATAACTCCTATTTTGATGAAACCAAAAACCATCTCAAAACCCGCATTTCCCAACATAAAACATCCATAACTTCCCGAAATCTTTCCGCCTCCAAGCTATCAGAACATGCCTTAATCCTCAACCATTCATTTGATTTTGAAAACACCTCTATTCTTGCCACGGTCCCTAACCATGAAAAAAGACTCATTTCCGAATCCACCCACATTCACATGGGACAGAATCCTGTTATTCATAAAGTAGATAAAAACTGCACTTATTTAACATATAGACACATTTTAAATCTTATAAGTGAAAAATAACTTATATTACATCGTATTATTTTTATCTACTTTCAATTTTTATTGATTAATTCTATTTAACTGTTCATTATTGTAAGTACTTCCGCTTTGTATTATCTCTCTTTTATTTTATTTTATATTTACATTCTACATCAATGTATGATCATCCGTTTTCACTTTATATTAATTTTACTTTTTAACCATGTCTCAATATTATCTAATATTTAAATGTAATTTTCTTATATATGTGCAACCAAATATAATTATAGTTATTCATATTTTTTTTCCTCTCTATACTCCTTAAATAGTTCTGCAATGTATGGTCTCTTATTTCTATATTTATATTTTACTTCTACGTTATTTGTTCACATTGTACTCTTATCTATAATTTCTTAATTATATTTTATATGTAAAAATTTATAACTTATTATTTCATAGATACAGTATTTTTTCCCTTGTATCCATCCATACCTTCAAGTTCCACAAATTCAGGTCAGCAAAATTCCACAATACCTACCCTCACCCTTATTTTCCAGTTGTAAATGAAACTCCTAGTTGAACACACCTGTAAGTCTCTATTTTTATTCTTCTAATTTTATATAATTATTTATTTATTTTTGGTTTTCTTTTCTTTCTCCACATTACTTTATGTCTATTATTTCATATTATATCCTTTTTCCTTCTTTTACAATCTCTCCCGTGGATCTGTAGAAGTATATTCACATTTGTATATATTATATATTACACTATAACAATTACTATCTATCTACTTCAGTTTAGGATCTTGTTACTAAGCTTGCTTTGTTTATATTTTAATGTACTTACTGTTTATAATTTAATAAGCTTATTCACATTGTTTATAATTTTTTGTCTAAATATTATGTAACTTCCACAATTCTGTATATCTTTTTGTATCTTGTCCGTTCTAGCCCTGAAGAAACCGCAAAGTCGGGTCAAAACGTTGGCTTTTAATAAAATAGTTTTGCCACTATTTATCCTATTTATGACCGCCACCCCGGACGATCTCTTTCCTTTATAATGCAACGGTCAACTATTAAATATTCAATAAAAATTAAAATGTGTATATATAAGGATAATTAAACAAATAAAAATACCCACAATGAAATGTAAATAAGTATAACGTCTATAATTTTTACTTTCACTTTCCGTTTTTCTGAAAATACTTATTTCTGGTAAGATGAGGAGGTAAGTGAAAGCCGTGTGATGCGCACACCAGATTTATTCTTATCAAAACAAGATAAATAGTGAAAGATGCTATGATATGCTTGTTCAGAACGAATTCATGCTTTGAAAGAGCACCTTTCGATAGTTTTAAACTATTCCAAAAACTTAATATTCTTAGAGAACAGGTAATGGGTGCTGAAAACTGGGTATTTTACCCTACAAGTTGTAATTCAGAAACCAAAAGTGAAAAAAAAATTAAACAATATTTATAAATATTCTTAGAGAACAGGTAATGGGTGCTGAAAACTGGGTATTTTACCCTACAAGTTGTAATTCAGAAACCAAAAGTGAAAAAAAATTAAACAATATTTATAAATATCAAATTTCACTCATTATGAAAAGCTTTGTTTCAAAAAATTTTAGTGTAGACTGATTTGGGGTAGAATGGACCTTATTAAATGAATAATCTGTTTAAGCAAACCAATCCAGAAATAAAACTTCAAATTAAATAATTTATATTACTACAGATTGAAAAATATGCTTAATGATAATAACTCTAAAATTAACTTACGTCTGGAATCCATTCTGCAAAAATAATAAAGGACTTGGCTGATGATATTTTAAGTATTCGTATCTCACTTCCTAATTCTGTACACATAAAACAAACCAATATTAAAATTAATAATAACAAAACATGTAATAAACCATCATATAAAAATCAAAGCATACAAATTGTAGAGAAAGCACATGATAACCAATGAACGGTTCATAAAAATCAATGTAAGCCCCAAACCCTTTACTGATTATATATAGATTTACAAACTGACAGTAAGACTTATGTAGAGCTGGACACTCTTAAAATAATTTATTTCATGAATGAATTATTTCTAAAATAATGGTTATTTCTGAAATAATATTTCAAATTGGTATTATTTAATATTTAATTGTATAGATTACTGTGATATAAAAATTAAAATTGAAAGAGATGGTACGGGGTGGCGGTCATAAATAGGCTAAATAATGGCAAAACTATTTTATTAAAAGTCAATGTTTCGACCCACTCGACTTTGCAGGTCTTTTTCAGGGCTAGAACAGACAAGATACAAAAAGATTTAGAGAATTGTGGAAGTTACATAATATTTAAACGAAAAATTATTAACAATGTGAATAAGCTTATTAAAATTATTAACAGTAAGTATATAAAATATAAAATAAAGTGTAAAATAAAATATATGCAAATGTGAATATCCTTCTACAGTTCCACAAGAGAGATTGAAAGAAAATGAAAAAGGATATAATATGAAATAATAGACATAAAGGAATGTGGAGAAAGAAAAGAAAAACAAAAAGTATATAAATAAGTAAATAAAATTAGAAGAATAAAAATAGACTTACAGGTGTTTTCAGCTAGGAGTTTCACTTAGAACTGGAAAATCAGGGTAAGGACAAGGAAATTTGCTGACCTATTTGGGTCAATGGGAAAAAACCTAGAAAATTACAATATCTGAAATTTGAAGATATGGATGGATATAAGGGGAAAATACTATATCTATAAAATAATAAATTATAAATATATACATATAAAATAGAATTAAGAGATTATAGATAAGAGTACAATGTGAATAAAAACAAAAATGGAAGTAGTAAAATATAAATATGGAAATAAGAGACCATACACTGCAAAACTAATTTAGAAGTATAGAGGAAAAAAAAATTGAATAATTACAATTACATTTGGTCGTAAATATGAAAGAAAATTACATTTAAATATTCGATAATATTAAGACATGGTTAAAAGTAAAATGAATACAAAGTGAAAATGGATGATCATACATTGATGTAGAATGTAAATATAAAATTTAAATAAAATGAAAGAGAAATCATACAAAACAGAAATACTTGGAATAATGAACAATTAAATTGAATTAATCAATAAAAATTGAAAGTAGATAAAAATAATACGATGTAATATATAAGTTATTTTTCACTTATAAGATTTAAAGATGTCTATTTGTTTTAAATTTTAAATGCAGTTTTTATCTCCTTTAACAGAATTCTGTCCCATGTGAATGTGGATAGATTCGGAAATGAGTCTTTTTTCATGGTTAGGGAGTGTGGCAAGAATTGAGGTTTTTTCAAAATCAAATGAATGATTGAGGGTTAAGGCATGTTTTGATAGTTTGGAGACGGAAGGGTTCCGGGAAGTTATGGATGTTTTATGTTGGGAAATGCGGGTTTTGAGATGGTTTTTGGTTTCTCCAATATAGGAGCTATTACAATTAGGAGTAGAGGAAGGTATCCAGTAAACTACATTAGATCGGTTTTGTAATAGTATGGGATCCTTTAAGTTGGTGAAAAGGAAAGAAAGTTTGTTATGGGACTTAAGGCCAAGATGTAAGTTGGTTATAGTCAATTTAAGGAATTTTTGTTGAGGAAGGACGTTGAGTAGTCTGCCTGAGTATGTGGGTTTAGTGTACCAGTCAGTAGAAACATAGCCGTCAGTGTTTTTTATTATTAAGAGGTCTAAGAAGGGGGAATGAATTGTCAACTACTTTCTCTATAGTGAAAGGAAGACAGGGTGGTAAGAGTTGAATGAGGAAAGAATTTGAGGAATGCTGTCAGGGTTAAGAACAAGGAGGTCATTGACATATTTTTTGATGAAAAGAAGGGATAACAGAGTCAAGGAGGTCATTAAGAACAATTTTGGAAATATCTGGTGCTAAAGAATTTCTCATGGCTAGACCTGAAATCTGATTAAAGAATTTTCCAAGGAAGGTGAGGTATCCAGATCTGCAACAAAGCTCAAGGGATTCAAGGTATGAGGAGAGGTTGAGAGTGGTGTGAGGTTCGATGGTTGTCCAGTTTTTCTGTACAATGTGGAGGGCTTTGTCTATTGGGATGTTGGTAAACAGGCTTTCGGCGTCTAAGGAAACAAGGATAAAGTCGTCAGGAATATGGAGAGAAGATAACTCTTCTTTAAGGTGGAATGAATTATTAATGTCATAAGGATTATTGTGGCTAGGTTTTTGGAGAGAGGGTAAAAGGAATTTGCTTAGTTTAGCTGAGGGGGCGTTAATATTGGAGATGATAGTGCAGAGATTTCCAGGTTTGTGAATTTTTGGGAGTCCATATAAGCGGGGTGCTAAGGAGTTGTAGGATATGAGGTTGTAGTAAGTGGGATGTAATTTGTCTAGTGGGCGGGGTGGCCGAACGGGCTAACGTGTGTGCACAGCACTGCCGTTGCCTGGCAACCTGATCTATGAGACAATGGATTTAAAATAGTCACGAGTTCGCATTCCGGTGACAGGAGTCTTTTTAAATCCCGGACCACGCCCCCTGGCCCGGGAAAACCCCGTATAGCCTTAAAGGCGAGGACACCAAAAAAAAAAACTTGATCTCAATTAAATTTTTAATGTGTTGGTTGAATTTTAAAATTAATGTAGGGGTTGGGTCATGGGGGGGAGGGAGCTTAAGTTGTTTGGTCTGAAAGTAGTTGATGCATTTTATTCTTGTCCATAATAACGGTCGTATTTCCCTTGTCAGCCTTAATAATAATGAAGTGTTCCTTTGTTTTGAGGAAAGAGGGAGTTGAGGATAAATCTTTAAAAAACATGAGGGATAAAGGGGACGAAAGGGATAGAGGGTGTTGGAAATCATTCATGTTAGTGATCCGAATGCGGAATAATTTGCATATATTCTATATTACACTAAAGCAATTGTTACCATCTATTTACTTAAGTTTAGGATCTTGTTACTTAGCTTACTCTGTTTATATTTTAATGTACTTACTGTTTATAATTTTAATAAGCTTATTCACATTGTTTATAATTTTTTGTCTAAATATTATGTAACTATAACACACTAAATATTATGTAACTATATCACAATTCTCTATATCTTTTTGTATCTTGTCCATTCTGGCCCTGAAGAAGACTTGCAAAGTCGGGTCAGAACGTTGGCTTCTAATAAAATAGTTTTGCCACTATTTAGCCTATTTATGACTGCCATCACAGACCATCTCCTTTCTTTATAATGCAACAGTCAACTATTCAATATTCAAAATTTATTTTTGTTTGTTTATGTCAAAGAGCCACTAAGTACATTTTTCATGGAACTAAATTTTTGTCGACATACAAGAAAACACTAAAAATTACAAAAAAAAAAAACCTTTTATGTATCAGACATAGTTACATCAAGTGCACAATGTTTTGATTTTACAGAGGGGAAATTCAGCATAGAACTTAATAATTTAATTTTATGAAATGTTACTTGATGACTTACAATAAACCGACAATGTGATATTTATTACTAAAATGATCGTACTAATAATGAGCAATAAATTAATAATAAGATACCACAATTCTTAAAATAATATTTCTTCATATTTTTATCATGAGACTGATATTTAACATTCCAAATATTATAGGAAACCATTATTTTTTATATGTTGAGTAGCCTGGTTAATATTAACATTTTATAGTATTGACATAACCTATCCTCATAATTCAACCTCTATGGTGAACAGTTTCAGCAAAATACCCAGGCATACACGGAAGGGAGCCAGGAATGCCGGTTGCTGCTAAGGTCAGTTCCAGCGAAATAGTACCTTTTCCACAGCCCCAGTATTATCAAGGCCGAACTTTACACTCCTGTTTGTCACAAACTGTGATGCCAATCATGTAAGATTTGGGATGGTTAATACGACACACAGAGATCTTGAAAAGGTGGTAGCTTATACTTCATGTACTCTTATTGCATCCAAAAAAAAATTAAACCATTAAGAATGGTAACCTCTGTAGAATTAAGATATAGACAATATATTGAAGGTTATAATTTTAAAGTGGTAACTAATCACACTAGTCTGTAGTGGAATTTGAATCTTAAGAGTAGGTTATTTCGCTTGTTAGTCTTTCCAACTCCAGGATTTTAATCCTTATCTAGAGTACAGTAAGGAAGTTCAAATGTTGTGCCTGATGTTCTTTCACAAATTCCCAAAACTGAAGCTATAGTAGCCATAATAAACTTTGAGTTATGTAGTGAAATGCTCATCCTAAATGGTGTAACAGGAGTAGGCAGTTATATTACCATAAGATAGATAATTTATCCATGGAGTTAGAGGAACCTCAGGAAAGAGGGAAATTTTAATTACATTAAGTTTCAGAAATCAAATTCTGGAAGCACAGCATTTAGGAGATGACTTAAACTAACTGACGAATAGTGAGAGGGTACTATCAGCCAAGTTTGTTTAGAGAAGCAGTTGATTTCACTAGGAGGTATGGAAGAAGTCAGAGAGTAAATGACTCCTTGACAAACACTCCTTCCCCGAAGGTTTGATGCAACCCTAGTTCATAGAATTTCCTTGGAAATGTGTTTCAGCGGACATTATGGGATCTTATCACCTGTTTGTGTCCCAGAAGGATCAATCAATACCACAGTCGATCCACAGCTGATGGAACAAAATAAATAATTACCTAAAACAGCCAGACATGAACTCAAGATCAGAAGCATAGGATCACAGTGTCTTGCTCATGGAGTTACCCTGATCCTAAACATATAATATATATTAAACCCAATTCTGAGGAAAATGAAACCTGTCAATTACAATAACAAACATTAAAATTAATTTAATTTTAACATCTAACAAAAAA